GCTAAAATTGAAAATAAATTGGTGTGCCTCGTTTGTCCAGACTAGCTGAGTAATTTGACACTAATTTGGAGTCACTGGGTCACATGACCTGGAAGTTATTGAAGAATATTCATCATTTATGAATATAAATAATCATAAAAAATATGCAAAACGCTAAAATTGAAAATTAATTGGTGTGCCTCATTTGTCCAGACTAGCTGAGTAATTTGACACTGATTTGAAGTCACTGGGTCACATGACCTGGAAGCTATTGAAGAACATTCCAAATTTATGAATATAAATAATCATAAAAAATATTACAGAGGCTAAAATTGAAAATAAATTGGTGTGTCTCATCTGTCCAGTGCAGTTGAATATATCCACACTGGTTTTTAGTCACGAGGTCACAAAATAGAACATTTATTAATTTTTATTTCTCAAGAGTTCTTGGTTCAGAAATTCGTTGACGATCCCTAAGTGAACTGTCGCTGGTTGGGTGGCGATGCAGCCGAGAGGAGCGAGCCGAACTCTGACTACGCGGAGCGCTAATATCCAATATCCAACTTCAAACTAATTTCACCGCGGTGAGAAATGTGTCCTTTTTCAGACATCGGTTCGGTATCTGGGCCATGTAGTCTCCAGACATGGCGTAGAGACTGACCCTGAGAAGGTTTCAGCCCTTAAGACATGGCCTGTTCCCCAGATTCTACGAGAGTTGAAATCCTTCCTTGGATTTGCTGGATACTATAGGAGGTTCGTCAAAGGTTATTCCAGCATAGTAAACCCTCTCCACAACCTAACCTCTGGCTACCCTCCTCTTCACAAGAAATCAAAAGCAAAACCAGCAAACCTAAAACAGAAACTGGACCAGTATCATGACCCTAGGGAGCCTTTTGGCAGCCGCTGGACACCATCTTGTCAGCGAGCCTTCAAGGCAGTCATTCAAGGCCTCACCACTGCCCCTGTATTGGCCTTTGCTGATCCTCAGAAGCCGTATATACTGCACACCGATGCCAGTACCACCGGACTTGGTGCTGTACTGTATCAGGAACAAGATGGTCAGCTTAGAGTCATTGGCTATGCAAGCAGAGGGCTGACACGGAGCGAGAGCCGTTATCCAGCGCACAAGTTGGAGTTTCTAGCGCTCAAGTGGTCAGTGTCAGAGAAGTTCAGTGACTATCTATACGGCAATCACTTCACCGTAGTAACTGATAGTAATCCACTGACATACATACTGACCTCGGCAAAACTTGATGCAACCAGCTATAGGTGGCTAGCGGCGCTGTCCACATTTTCATTTAAACTCCTCTATCGTCCCGGGAGGCAGAATGGAGATGCGGATGGACTTTCCCGTAGACCGCATGGGATGTTGGCAGACGATCTGAAGTCACAAAAGGAGAGAGAGCGTATACAACAGTTCACACAAGACCTTCTCTCTGATCCGGAGAACATTGATGCAGTGGATCAGTCTGTTGTAAAAGCGATCTGCGACAGACAGCTTACCTACAATGTTGGTCCTGATGATGACAGAGAGGGGGATGCAAATCGTGTTGCCTTAGTAGAGTCTCTTGCCATGTGCTCTACCGCTGTACCTGATAGTTATGAGCATGAAGAACAGTTCGGAGGTCTGCCCACCATCCCTCATCTATCTGAGACAGAGCTTGCAGATAAACAGAGAGCTGATCAGTGTATAATGCACGTTATCTCCCAGATCGAGCAAGGGGACACACCACCTCCCACTTTACGCACTCAACTTCCTGATCTTCCACTTCTGCTTCGAGAGCTAAACCGTCTTGAACTCCACAACAACATCTTGTATAGGAGATGCCAAATGGGATCCCAGAACACTTACCAGCTTGTACTCCCAGCTGGGCTTCGGGACACAGTCCTCACCAGTTTGCATGATCACATGGGTCATATGGGGGTTGACCACCGCACACTGGACCTTGTGAGGACCCGATTCTATTGGCCGAGGATGGTTAAGGACGTTGAGAGGAAAGTGAGAACGTGTGGCAGGTGTGTGCGGAGGAAGACACGACCTGAAAAAGCAGCCCCCTTGGTCAATATAAGGACTACACGGCCCCTTGAGCTCCTCTGCATAGACTTCCTGTCCCTGGAAGCAGACAAAAGCGGAACCAAGGACGTGCTTGTGATCACAGACCATTTTACTAAATTTGCGGTTGCCATCCCAACACCAAACCAAAAGGCCCGTACTGTAGCAAAATGTCTGTGGGAAAACTTTATGGTGCACTATGGTATCCCTAAAAAGCTACATAGCGACCAGGGGCCAGACTTTGAGTCCCGCACAATCAAGGAACTCTGTCAGGTGGCTGGAATCCACAAGGTCAGGACAACCCCATACCATCCTAGGGGCAACCCAGTGGAGCGGTTCAATCGCACCCTACTTGACATGTTGGGCACTCTTAATGACCAAGACAAGTCCTGTTGGTGTGACCATGTAAGACCTTTGGTCCACGCCTACAATTGCACCAGAAATGAGGTGACTGGATTCTCCCCATATGAATTAATGTTCGGACGCCAGCCTCGTCTGCCCGTCGATCTTGCATTCCAGTTGCCAGTACCAGAGAGCCAACATTCATCCCATTCCGAGTATGTGCACAACCTGAAGTCACGGCTTAAAGAGAGCTATAAGATAGCCATGGATAAAGCTGCAAAGATGGCTCATCAGAACAAAACGAGGTATGATAGACATGTAACTGCCTCAGACTTGGAGGATGGAGATCGAGTGCTGGTCAGAAATGTTCGCGTCCGGGGCAAACACAAGATCTCAGACAAGTGGGAGTCCACCGTCCATGTAGTGGTGAGAAGAGCAGGCACCCTCCCAGTTTATACAGTAAGACCTGAGAACGGGGATGGTCCCCTAAGGACACTACATAGGGACTTGCTACTTCCATGTGGATACTTACCTGTAGAGGAAACCGCTGAACCTGAAAGAAAACCAGTACTCCGTAGGCCAAGGACCCGTGCAAATCCTGTAGAGGAAGAGGAAAATTCCTCAGATGAAGGAGATGAGCCACTCATCCCAATTTATTTATGCCCTCCAGTCCCCACCATCATTGAGAATCCTGTGCAGCCTTGCCTGCCAGCGACTCATTCCAAAGACAGCCACTGTACTGAACCACCAGGTACTCATTTTGTTGAGAGTCCCTTAAATGGTCAGAATGTACACAGTACACTCGATGCCAACAACTCACACGATCTTGACAACTTACCTGATATGTCCAACAGTCCTTCAGACAGTCCCGTGAGACTCACTGAGCCAGGTTCTCACCAAAGTGACACTGAGTACTTACCCACCGGCAAAGTCACACCAACCGAACAAGGAGATGAGATGCTTCTGATTCAAGATGATTTACTGACAGATGAGCACTCTGGTATTCAAGATGAGCAACTTCTAGTTCCCCCAGATACGTCAGACCCCATGGAGGACAGGGTCGTTGTTGGAACTGCAGAAAATGAGGAGAGAGATGAGGAGAAAGATGGAACTGGAGCTGCAGAAAATGAGGAAATGAAGGAAGGACCAGTCCAAATGGGTACAGAGGAGAAAACTGATGCAGATAAATCTGTCAGGAGATCTGAGAGAGACCGTCAGCCACCAAAACGTATTGATTATACTGAGTTAGGCAACCCTCTGATCACAGCAGTGACATCACTCTTTCAAGGGCTGTCCAACGCTTGGGCTGATATCATACGCGAAGATCCCTCTTATACACCTGTGGCACTCCCTCGAGTAATTAACATCTGACCATCTGCCATGCACAGGGACGTGCATGAGTTCAGGAGGGGAGGATGTAGCCCAGGTGAAAAATGTACTTTACTAAAGAGATGTGGGGGAAAAAAAAGCATTATTTTCTTTGTTTTATCATATTACATCAGCGAGAACTGAAATATCCCACTGCACACAAAGGCATCACCCCGCACATAATCTCACGTGGGGCCACGTAGCCTCAGCAGCCAATCACAGACTGCACAGTCCGCGTTCAGCCATCAGCTCGGATGCAAGACGATTCAGGCGCTCTTTTCATTTCCGGCTCAGAAATTAGCCGAGAGAGCACACAGAGGACGGACGAAGAGAAACCTTTTGGTGAGAAACTAAAAGAGGAGTCATACAAGATCACTGACGGCTGTAAACCGGGAGGCAAGCGACCCAACGTCGGGAGATGAGCTACGTCGGTAAGACGAGTCGGATATCTGTGGAGAAAAGGAGAGACGCTTGTTAATACTTACCGCCATTTTCATGCTAACGCTAGCTCGGTGTCTCACAGGCTAGCTTCTAACCATCCGTCTTGTGAGCTGTGGCAGCGCCGGAGTCAACGTGCGCCCAGCTTTGAACACAGAGCAACGGTGAGAATGCAGTCAGTGTTACTATGTTTTAGCATCATGTCTCTGTGGATCCTCAATGTGCTAAAGACCGCTATATGGTTTTCAAGACTGGGAGTAAACTGAGGTGAACAATGTTGCAGTGTTATAAATATGCAAGTAGTTATGATAGTTCAAGCTGATGAATATATGTTTAAGAAAAGAGAAAAGTTTATTTTATGCTGATGTGTGTTTAAAAAGAAGTTATAGTTGGTTCTTTATTGCCAATTTCATGAAAGGAAAGAGTTTGATGCATTATGTGATAATGTGACATTTTTTTGTATTTTGCAAGTGCACATTGCTGAAAGTAATTCAGAGTAATTTTTGGTGCATGCTTTTCTATTGCACTAGGAGGCCTATAGTGCAGGAGGAGTAATTAAGCACACTTTTAATATCTCTGAAACCTGAATGTTTTACTTTTGTTGTAATTGCACCTTATTACTCCAGTTATGATAAGTCATCATCATATCAGCTGTATTATTAATCACTTACCGTGATGAAACGTGCTTACTGTTCATGTGAACAGTACAATGTGAGTTCTTGAACGTTTAGTCCTCGTACTTGAACTTGTTATATTTTGAATGTTGTACAACCAGAAAGACTGAGATTTGATTTGATTTATGATTTATTAATGACATTTAATTCATTAATAATTGCACTTTGACAAAGGGACTGTTAAGAAGATGCATCCAAGAATGAACTGTGATGAGTGCATTTGACCTTGTCTACAGGTCAGGTTTTTTGAGCGGACAGTGAATTCCAAGGTTGCAGAACGAGATCACAGATGGCGAGCCGAAGGACCTAGGAGAAGATACACGTACCATTCACACATACATTCATCTTTCACTCTCATGAACTCTTAATATCAGGTGCACCTGCAACAACTCAGGGCCCCAACGGACAATTTCATTTTCTGTGCGCACCACCTTTCTTTTATTTTTCCTTCTTTGTTTTGGGGGTTTTATTCAAATATATGTTATGCTAAACTGCCACTTATTCTGTTCTTTGTAAAAATACATGAGTGGTTACTCAAACTTCATTTCTGTGCTCTTCATTATTGTTGCTCAACCTTTGGCTCCTATCGAATCTAGAACTTCTGATGCTAGCCCTTTTGTCTAATCACAGTGCATGATTATTATACTGTAATCTATCTCCACATCGGAAAGTCGGTTACACAAGGACATGCATTGTAATTGGCAATTCACTTAGGTCCTTCGGACCTCCCTCTCCCAGGGCGCAGTCCCAGGTTAGACCCCTTTCCACTGAGGTCTCCGTCCAGGCTCCCCTGGAGACAACTCAGCCTTCTGCTTCCCAGTGTCTTCTTTTCAAAAACACTGATCACAGAAGCACTACTCGCCTACTAACTCATTCGGTTTTGGCTTGTAGTGGCCTGACTGTACATTGAGCCGAACGCGGCGGCCATCAACATGGTCTTACTGCCCTCCTGCGACCCGACCGGCCGGTGACCCAGTCGGTAGCGATCCCCAGTCCATGGAGCAGGACCCCGTAGTGGTTATTAGCCGCTCGGTTGGGAACCAACGGTCTGATCCCCACCCCACTTCGCTATGGGCTATAGGAACTTTGACCATTTTCACCAGCCTTGCCTGTTCACAGAGGTCACCTCTTGCGCCCCTCTGCGAGGTGTGGGCTGTCACCCACGTACCATGCCGGGCTTACATACCTACATGCGACCGGTGCGCCGACTAGACGGTACCACGGCAGTATGTTCATTCATACTTCATCAGACACGGGGGCCTTCAGTCCTCTCCCCACCACTATACACAATCTTTAACGTGCCCTCGGAACTTTGCAATTCTGCCACCGCCTGTTACCCACTAGGTTTGGGGTGCCTAATCCCCTTCCCTAATGGGCAATGTGTCCCAATTTTCAACTGGTTCTGAATCTGAAACGTTTGAAAATCAAGTGTGATACCTCATTCTGTTTAGTCAGTTATGTCTTCATGTATTTGTCATTCCATTTGACTCAGTTTCTGAATTTGTTTGTTTAATTAAATTAAATCACTTTTTTTTCCTTTTTTGCACTTCTTCAGTTAATAATTACCTGCTTGTTTTGCTTGGAGCAAATCACATCCCTCTGCAGTCATACATTTTCTAAAAAATGACAATAAACTTGATTTGATTGAAATGGATCAGCCTAACTAAATGGTGAAAATAGTTTTGCACCGCTTTGCAAGTTGCATGCTGGGTTCTGAGTCAGACCGTTGTTGAGGGTTCAGAAAATATTAGAAAATAGTATTTTTAACGACCATCTGGATGTTTCATACAGTCTTGTCTATGAAAAAAGGATTGTTGCTTCAGTGACCTATGTACACTGACATTCAGGCACAAACCTGGCTTAACTCTGACAAAGATGTGAAAAGTCAGTCATTAATTTAGTCTCAGTAAAGTAAATAGATTAAAACAGGCTGTATGAATTGTCTGCTTCAACACCATGAATCCCCTCTTGCATATAAGAAAAAATGTTTAGTATATTGACTTCTGAGCACTGAGTCACATGTTTTTGACAGGATGTAAACAATGAAGACCCTGCTCATCATTTCCTCAAGCTCCTTGTGGTCAGTGGAAATGCAGCACAGGAAGGCCTTGCTCTGGCTGAATTGGCACAACATTTATTATGAGCAGTGCTGGAGTTGAGGGGGGATTACTTTCCATAAATCAACCATTCTGTCACCAAATACATAATCTCTAGACGTAGTGATAACAACACAGCTAATGATGCTAGGTTGCTAACGATACTAACGGTTACTGGCTAGCTCATGTTTGGCTTCTCAATGGGGTTTAGTTTAGATAACATTTGTCTGGGATTCTCCAGATTATATAAACAAGCGAAGAGTTCAACATTAACGTCATTTATCATAGTGAAAGGAGAAGTCAGTCAGTAATGAACATTATTAGTATGTGCTTAACTTAAACTTAAACAATCTCTCAAAACCTTGTGCCTGCTTTGGGAGCACATGTAAATTTATAAAAATCTTTATTTGGCCAATGCTGTTTTCTTACAGATGTTGATGAAACGGAACCAGCAGTGCCAGAAGAGCTAAAATCCTCCTTCAAGCTATGAACACACTGGTCATCTCCACAGCTGAGTGTGAGCGTGGGTTCAGTCACATGAACATTTTAACCACAACTAGAAACTCCTTAGAAGTAAAAAGCATGTCAGCCTTGCTTTTCATCAAGTGTGTTGGCCCTCCATTGAAAGTGTTCAAACCAGATGTCTATGTCAGGTCTTGGCTTCAAATCCATTGTCAAGCTGATGATCCAAAAGCAAGAGCCCGGAAAATTTACTACGAAAAACATGATTATGAAAATCTTTGGAAACTTCTGTGAATTAGGGGAGAACTGGGTAGGCAGCTATTGAAAAAAAAAACCCAAAACTGATTAGTTATCCATTTTATTTTTCCTATTTTGGTTTTAGAGGCTAGCCACCTCAAGTTTAAAATATCTCAGGTGTTGGTGTTATGTATTTTTGCAAATTTTTGATATTCATTTTCAAATTTTAGGGCTGCAGGGTGGCGCAGTTGGTTAGCACTGTTGCCTTGCAGCAAGAAGGTTGCCGGTTCACGTCCCGGTGGAGGCACCGGAATCTTTCTGCGTGGAGTTTGCATGTTCTCCCCGTGCAGCGTGGGTTCTCTCCGGGTTCTCCGGCTTCCTCCCACACAGTCCAAAAGCATGTTGAGGTTAATTGGTGATTCTAAATTGTCCGTAGGTGTGAATGTGAGTGTGCTTGGTTGTCTGTCTCTAAGTGTAGCCCTGCGATAGACTGCCGACCTGTCCAGGGTGTCCTCTGCCTTCGCCCTAAGTTGACTGGGATACGCTCCAGCCCCCCCGCGACCCGAGTGAGGATTAAGCGGTGTATAGATAATGGATGGATTTTCAAATTTTTTCAAGTAGTTCATAAAAATTTTTTGCATTTGAATTAAAATGAACTTGACCTGACTTGAGAGGATTCAGAGTCTCATTTGCAGTTTTGTGAGGGTTTGTTTCACACTTCAGCATCTGCATTTACTTCTGGAGCAGTGATAGCCATGCCAGCCTGGGGACTGACTCCAATTCTGAGATATCCTGGTCAAGATCAATTACAGAACAATGTGACATATAAGATCCATGTCATATATGTTGTTTTTGGATAGCAAAATAATTATCTTTTGAATTTTCACAAAAATAAAAAGGGTACATAGTTTGTTTCACATCATATGCACAGTCATCAGGCCAAAATATCCATCCCAAAAATATAAAACCCACCATCCCAACCGAAATTTCTTTTTTTTTTTTTTTACAACTCGACTACTGATTATGAGTGTACGTTCTCCTGTATAAAGGATTTGTGAGGAAACTGACATCCCTGCTTTTGATGAACTTTCAAAGCTGTAGACTCAAAACGCACATACTCTAACAGATGAGGACTGAAATATTGTTTCAAGTTATTAGGACTGTTGTTTGAAAGTATTTTGTATTTGTAAAAGCCTTGTTAAGAATTGAATTTAATTAAAAGTAGTCCAGGCTAAAAATGCAACAAATCCATGTTAGAATAGTGGTGTAGGTAGAAGATGAATTATGCAAACATTACTTAAATATTGCTCAAAATTAAGTAAAGAAAAACTAATTAACTAATCACGAAAATTAAGCACCTTTATATGGGGTTTGTAAGTAGATGCAAAGGTATTTTGAGTAAAATTTACTATCAAAGAAATTTGCCAGTAATGTTTACTTGATTCTTTAAATTAAAAAAAAAATCTTGCTGGTACGTAAACTTTACTTGACATTTTTCTGAGTAGAAATTACTCAGAATGTCTGTGTGGGAATTGTTATCTCGCTGTTTTCAGGTAAATGGCACTCCAAATGTTTTCAGTGTACAACCTAGTTTTCATAGTGGACTCTTTTTGGAGGATTTCATCAGTTGAGTTCTTTCCAATTTCTGATAGGGTTTCATTTCCAGGGTTGTGGTCATTGTCAGTCAGTGAGGTTCCTAAGTCAGTCCGAACCTCAGTCAGTGTTCTCTCTGTAGGGTCTTGAGTCAGTGTACAGTGTGTCTTATGGATCCAGTTGCTCATCCCATCTTCTCTCAACCTTTTAAAAAAAAACCCCAAAAACATTCTCAATCCACTAAAAACCTCTTTACCTTCTTAACTACTTTCTCTGCAGTCCCTCTTCTGCATCAGGCCTGCCTCTGTGTGTTTGCTCTTAGCTTGTCTCACACTCCCTGCTGCCTGCTGTAGAAACAAGGTCAAATCCCTCTGTGTTGGTGGAGAAGTGACACAATCTCCAATCCAACATTCCGTTTCTCCTGAATTTCTGTAGTCCAATTTACAAATCTCTCCAAACCTTTCTCAGTTTCATCTTTCAGGACTTGTGTTAACCACCTTAATATTGTTTCAGCCAGCACCGTCCCCAAAAAGCCAGATTTACACTCTGTACATCGATCTACAACTTTCTGAGACATTTCAATTATTATTACACGTATTATTCAGAGAGGGTGAATGGCGCAGTGCCCGAGTGAAGGACCCAATCAAGAAGATTCTACACGGAGTCTTAACAACCCGTGCGCTTGATCATTGAGGGTTTTCCCAGCCTATTCACTCGTTTTAATTCCCCACCTCAAATAACACCTTAACTGATTATGTTCCCACGTATCTTATTCCAACCCCTGAATCCCCACACAACTACTTGAGATCTGTGTGTGTACTGGACTTCTCCTCCAATGTAAGGTTGTCAGATACACAATACAGCACACAGTAAAATATCAATCAAGTAGAAAACAATCCCACATTTATGTGAAAAATAACAAACTTAACCCTGTGTCCTCATAAAGATTTTTATCCTATGATTTTACAGAGGTTTATTTATTTCTTTATTTTTCTATGATGATGATGATGATGATTATTATTATATATAATTTATTTATTTATTCATTAATTTTTTAATAGATACTCAAGTCTTCACCGAATTTTTTTTTTTTTAATTTTTTTTTTCAATACTCAACCGCTCAACGGGAGTCTTCTATATTCATCAGGCCAATCCC